ACACCCCGATACAGCATTCAAACACACCTCCACATCTGGAGCTTCAGGCGAGGCTCTAGACGCTGGCACTACCCTTTTGTAGGGTAAACAAACAATGGGTGCTCAGGACACCTGGGCGTGTGAAACTTTGGTGCGTGCCTCTAGGCTCTGGGCCTTTCCTTCTTTCTCTTTATTTCCTTCTTCTGTAACTGTTATTATTACCGTGTATGTGTGTATAATTTGTGTGAGGCCACAAGTGTGCAGGGTGGTGTGTGTGTGTGTGTGTGTGTGTGTGTGTGTGTGGAGGTCAGAGGACAACTTTGCAGAATCGGTTCTCCGAGTTCCCTTCCCTGTGGATTCTGGGGACTGAGCTCAGGCAGACTGTCAGCAGTGAGTGCTGAAGGCTTTGCCCTCTGAGGCATCTTTAGCCTGTCTTTTCCTCCTCCCCCTCCTCCTCCATATCCCTCTTTCCCTTTTCTGATACAGGATCCCATGTGGCACAGGCTGGCCTCTAACTCCCTATATAGTATAGCAAAGGATGACCTTTTCTGATCCTCCTGCCTCCACTTCCTAAATGCTGGGATTAAGGACATTCTCCCCACCCCAGCCTCAGCCCCAGCTTCCTGAAATGCTCACCAGTTTTCAGTAGATGTGGTAAACAAAACTACAGGGCACACCTTTAATCCCAGGACTTGAGAGGCAGAGGCAGGGGGATCTATATGAGTTTGAGGCCACCCTGGTCTACAAAGCAAATTCCAGGACAAACAGGGCTGGAGACTTAGCTCAGTGCTTAAAAACACTGTCTGCAATTCTAGAGGTTCTGAGTTCAATTCCCAGCAACCACATGGTGGCTCACAGCCATCTATGGTGGGATCTGCTGCCCCCTTCTGGCACACAGTGTACATGCAGTTAGAGCACTCATCTACATAAAATAAACAAGCAAATAAATTTTTTTTAAAGTACCAAACAAATGTTTTTTGTTTTGTTTTGTTTTGTTTTGATGTCTGCTTGAACTATTTAAATGTTTTGTCAATTGTGAGTCAAGGCAATTGTAATTCAGGTGATTCTTCTAACAGCAAATTAATTTTACTTTTTGAATGAGGTGGTTTTGAAAATGTTGCTTTTTCTTATTTGGGATATTCCTGTCAACCTAAATTGCCTTATCAAGCCTACATTTCTTCAAGAATCATCTTTTGATCAGTAAGCCCTTAGATTTAGCGTCCAGAGGTTTGCACCTCAACGTCCCCCAAGTCGGCTGGCTTAGCAAGACAGACGTTGGCTGTGTGACAGTGCCAGGGGCTGCAGAGAGGTAAGGCAGGGCTGAGAAGCTCCAGGGTCAGGGATGGGAGCCTCCTGCCCCTTTCTGTTTCGGGTGGTTGCCAGCTGGGCTGGGCACCTTGGCTGGGCACTGGGTCCTGCCACCCTGAAGCTCACTGCTACAGCCTGCTCTCCTGGCACGTGCTTGTATCTATGTTTTCCTGTCTCGTTAGGACACAGTTGCTGACTTCAGGACATACCAGTCCAGCACGACTCCACCTTTAATAATCACCGGCAAAGACCCTCTTCCAAGTAAGGTCACACCCTCAGGTCGAGAGTGGGGATTCAATTGTGTCTTTGGGGACACAATTCAAAGCTCGAATACACAAATAAGTAGGTAACAGAAAACACTCTGATTATCTCAGCCTTATATGGTAGGTACCAGAAGGATGTGTGTTATTTTCTAGCTGAATCTTCTGCCATAGAAGCAACCCAGAGGCCAGCGGGCAGAACAGACTTTGTCTTAAGAGTCGCTAGCACAGTACAAGGCACAAATTATGCTGTGTAGACACCGGTCTCAGACCCTGCTTCAATGCTGGTCTTCTCTTGCACTTGAAGCTTTAAAAAGCTCTCTGGTGTTTTCCCACCACACACACTGCTTAGCGGTTTCTGCAACTTGCTGTCTGGGGTCGGGAATTGCTTAGGGATAGTTTTCAAGCGCTCGGATCTCAGGCTGCTGTCATGGGTCCTAGGGGTGGCCCAGCTAGCGCTCCCTGAACATAGACAGTATGGGATGTGGGGGGGGGGGTGTCCAACAGCTACAGGAGAACCTCCCCCCTCCCTTCAGGGTTTCTCAGGTTAGAGCTTAGTGTTACTGGGCCCAAACGCCCGGGAGAACTGAGGGGAGGAAGGATTTAAGTCACTTAGTTTCACGGGGCTGGGAATATGTGACAGAGACGTGTCTCAGCAACAGAGGCCAGGGAGTGGAGACAAGGGACTGCAAGAAGAGAGAGGGGCTGGAAAGAGCTCCAGGGACACGCCCTCAGTGTCCTCCAACCTGTTAGAGCTCCGACCTCTGGTCACCTGTCAACTGATAACGTCAACTGATAATAATGTCAACTGATAACCTCAACCCCGAATCTCCCTCCCATCACCAGGAGGTGGTGTGCTAAATCCTCCACGTCTCCGTCTAATCAAGTAGGCGAGTCTGACGGCTGCACCCGTCAGCCAGAGGCCTACCATCGCAGTTTGCATTATGATGCTATGTGAGCTAAAGCAATGTTCACAGAGCTGGGCGCCTCAGATCAAGAAAGTGCTGGCCACCCCTCAGCCTGTGCTAGGTGAAGAGCAGCGGAGGGCTCTTCTAGCTTCCGTTTTCCACCGATTCTCCACCAAGCCGCACAGAACCTCCTTTCACAGAAGAAAGAAAACCAGCCGGAACACGAGGAACTTAAAGGTTAGGCAAACATTCCTATGCCAGCTAACAAGCGTCGGGATGGAGAGGGCCTGTTTTAATCTGGGGAACAATACTGTGTAAACACAGCCAATGATGAGAGAAGGTGACAGCTGTTGCCTTAATTTTGGATGATTTTTCTTTTATGCTGGTGGCTTCAGGAATCACTCTCGCCAGCTTATAAAGCTAAACTTCTACTTATTAGTTTCTATTCATTTACACATATGCACACAGACTTTGGCTTTCTCCACTGAAAGCAAAGATTAAATTTAGACTGAACCTGGACATGGGGTTACATGGTAGGATAAAATCTACCACCCGGACGCAGAGGCAGGGATCTTGCCACAAGGTTTAGGCCAGCCTGAGCTACTTGATGAATTCTCAGCCCGAGCTACAGGGAGAGAGACTCTCCAAACAAATAAGGGCGTACTTGGAAAATTCCTTGAAATGAAGAAAAAGATACACACACAAACACAACAAGCACACACATTTTGTGTGTGGTTCCTAGTGTCTTGCACACGCCTATCTCCAGCCCCTGAAATAATGCCAACAGCCACAGCTTCACGATGGGAGTTCAATCAGTGGGCTGTGATGAACAAAACCCCAGTTTTAATACAGATAATTAACTGCATCTGAGGTGAAGCAGGGGCCCGCAGTGTGTCTGCCTTACTCAAATCATTTCCTGAAAGAGTTGAGGTGCAAAGCCGCCTCAGTGCTGTCCTTCCTGCCTCACGTGGCCACGACCCCATGAGGCTTTCTTTGTGGACTCTGCTCCTCCCCTGACTCCCAGGAAAGAAGTGTGGACTCAGATGATTTAAAAAGAAAGGAGCACGGAAGCCACAAGAAAATCAGCTAGCGAGCGGACTTGGCTGGAACCGTTTTTACTGTGATTCTCGGCAGAAGAACCAGACCACACAGAGGCCACCTGTGGCCCTGACAAGGCCGCCCATTCCCTGGTTGGTGCCCTAAGCTTATGGGGACAGGAATTGTGGCTCAGCGACACAAGAGAGGCGGTGCTGGCGCTGGGGAGACAGTAGGCCAGGCTGCTGTGTGCCTCATAACACCCTTCCCAGGGTCCCACCCTCTCAAAGTCCAAACCTCCTCAAGTTAGGCTTCCCAGCCCTGAACCCCAGATCTGCCTGTCCACCGTCCGGGTCAGCTCTTTCTCACACAGTTGACCAGACCATGCTCCTTCAGAACTGTTGCCTGGCTTTTGTTCATCCATTAGGGCCACAACGGAACTAACAATCTACTCGCTGGACCGCAAACTCCTGGGGAAGTTTCCCCCGACACTTTTACAATGAGTGTGGCCTTCCTGGCAGGACCCTGGGCCCCGCCTGTGGCAAGAAGGAGGCAGGGGCCACATACTGGGATAACCTAACAGATCACCGCGCTTTTTCACCGGAAGTCCATCCCTGCGACCTGCACATACCAAGTCAAGATCTTGAGTCTCAGTTAGGGACTGGCGGGCATAGTACCAACTGTTTATTCTTACCACGATTTGGGGGTGGGGGTGACACCCAGCACATGCACTGGGAATGGCTAGACGCTGCAGGAGAAACGGGATGGAAAAGACACAGCTCCATACCCAAGGCTTACGGTCAGGACGAGGAAATGAATTTATAAATGGCTCTAAGGCAACACAACAGGCTGGTGGAAGGGATGAAAAGATACTGAGGCCAGGAGTCTCGAGGAAAGAGATGCATTCATCCATTTAAAACTCATTATAATCTCAATGCAAAGAAAGGAATTCCAACCCCTGAGAGGCCCCCAGCCATGCCCCCACAGACACTGAGTGCAGGCGTGGCCCTGAGCCCTCACCCCTGCGGCGGGAGCAGTGGGGAGAGCCAATGACAAACTGGCTCCCCCAGCCTTGAGCTATTTAAATAATCCGAGGAGGAAGGCGTAGGGTGAAAGCAGGGCCAGCGCAGGAGGGAACTTGATGGAGAGGATCACAGCCGCTCTGCACAGCTGAGGGCGCCTGTTGGCCAGAGTCCTGCCCAGCGCCCGACACCCCTAGATCCTCAAGATTCCAACCCCGGCTCAAACACCCAGACGTTCTCACGGTCTAGCCCGACCTTGCCACCGCAGGAGTCTTAGGGTCCCGGCAGCTAGGATCACAGCCCAGCCTTAAACACCCCAAGACCCTCCGTATCTCCACCTGCCCCTGACACGGCGAGGTGTGCAGCCGAGGCTCCTCGATATTCTGGACACCCGCCCTGGAGACACTGACCCCAGCCCCCCCACACTCCAGGACCCCAAGGCCTTGCCCCTCTGTACGCGCAAACCCGCAAAAACCCGGGCGTCTCACCGTAAGTCTCGGACATGGCGGTCTGCGCCATCCTGCCACCACGGCTTGGTGGGGTCCGTCCTCCAGTCTCCGCAGAGAGAGAGGGTGGGGGGAACCGGGCGTGAGGGCCGCGTACGGGCCCACGGCGAGCCGGCCACCGGCTGTGGCCCAGAGGGACTGGACTCCGCGCCTGCGCACTGCCGTCCCGCAAAGGAGCCCGGTGGAGAGCGGGGCGGAGGGGCGGGGTCGCAGGAGGGGAGGAGGGATGGCCAGAGACAAGCTTAGCGCTCCTGGGAGGAGGGACCAGGAAGGAGGGAGGAGCGGGGCTCGGGAAGGGGCGCCTGCCCCGGGTAGGTCCTCCCAGACGGCACAGCCCTACAGACTCAGTTATCCTGAAGTGGGACCTAGCAGGCTAAGGCGGACAGGAGGCCGCCCGAGGGCTTGCTTGGAGGGAAGGAGGGTTCACAAGCAGAAAGCCAAGTTCTTTCCCGCGGGCAGGTGTGTTTGGTCACCTGCACTTTCCTGATCACCGCTTTCGTGGACCGTGCATTGGCGACCGGGGACAGCGTTGCCTGCTCCTCACTGCAGGCTAATTTCAGAGGTGCGTTCGGTGTATCAAACAATGCACAGCAGAACCCCCTCCTACTCCCAAGGAAAGGGGTGGGGGACGTTTATTGAAAGGCAGATTGGGGTCGGGAATTTGGCCCACCTGAGCAAACCAGGGCCTAAGATCCTGCCTGCTTTCTTAACGGTGGCAGCCGAGGGGCCTGGGCTGTGGAAAGGCCACTGCGTTCCTCTTACATCTGGCTCTGCCACGGGTCCAGCATCATACATTCTCTCCTGCCTCGGGGTCTGCCCCGAGATTTCATTCTCGTGTTCTGTGACACAGAAAATTAAGGAGTCGTGGGAAGAAAGGAGCCCTCATCCTAGAATCTTGAAGTCTCTTGCTGACACAGCATGCAAAATTTGCTGTTGAGAGTGCCTGGCACGATGTTCCTTGCCTGTGATCCCAGCACCCGGGGGGCATAGGCAGGAGGATAGTTTTGGGTTGAAGGCTTACCTGGGCTACACAGCAAGGAGTGGGAAACAAAAATAGAAGAGACACAATTCAAAAATAAATAAGTAAATAAAATTTAAAATAACAAAATGATTGCCTATGTAATTCTTTTAATACAGAGATATTTCCTTTAAGAATGTTAAAATAGCCATGAATCATGCTTAAGGCCTGATTGTATATGACCTTTGAGCTTAGCTTGCTTTCTTTCCCAGCTGTAAATCTGTAATATTCTGAGTAGATCATGGAAAAGATTACATTCAAAACACAGGTCTTAGTTGGGCGCGGTGGCACAAGCCTTTGACTCCAGAACTCAGGAGGCAGAATCACACGGATTTCTGAGTTTGAGGCCAGTCTGGTGTACATAAGTGAGCTCTAGGCAAGCCAGGGCTGCATAGTGAGACCCGGTCTCATAAACAAGCAAACAAGCAAGCAAGAGAGCAAACAAAAATATGTGTTAGTCTTTTGTGGCTTAATACTGAAAAAGAGTCTTTTGGCACTTGTGACCTGGGTTTTTATCTTGGCTTCTAATTCTATCCAGTGTACCTCAGAAACAGCTCTGTATCTCATTTTTAAAGGGAAAGGGAAACGGAGGCATAGCATTGCCGAGTGTGCGTGGGGAAGCATGTTTACAATCCTATTCCTAAGAAATGAAGGAAGGAGAGTGGAGAGTTCAAGCCAGCCAGACTTGTGTGTCTAGTGAGCCTGAGCTACACGAGCCCCTGTGCTGGCTGCTGTTTTTGTCAACTTGACACAAGCTAGAAACTGAGAAGAATTCACTGCCGTAGAGACTGGCCTGTAGGGGAGCTGCTGGGGGCTTGCTCATAATTAGTGGCCCACCACACTGCGGTACCACCATGGGCCGGTGGCCTAGGTTCTATGGGAAAGCAGGCTGCCCAAGCCACGAGGAGCAAGCCAGTGACAGCACCCCTCCACGGCTTCTGCTTCAGTTCCTGCTCCCAGATTCTGCCTTAACTTCTTTAATGATGGACCTTGATGTGGAAGTGTAATCTGAAACAAATCTTTTCCTCCTCCAGTTGCTTTTGGTTATGGTATTTTATCATGGCAATAGAAAACCCCAATGAAGGGGGCTGGCGAGGTGGCTCAAGGTTAAGAGAGCCATCTGCTTATCCAGAGGTCCTGAGTTCAATTCCCAGCAGCAACCATGTGGTGGCTCACAACCATTTGTACTGGGATCTGATGCCCTCTTCTGGCATGCAGGTGTACATGCACATAAAGCCAGATAGAGCACTCATATATGTAAAATAAATAAATATATATTTAAAAAAACGTAAAGGTACTTGTCACCAAGCCTGATGACCTGTAACCTACATGATAGAAGGCTCACCTTCTGACCCCAGCAGTCACTCATGCACACACAAAATAAATAGGAGGCGCAGTTAAAATCAAAATCATACATACGCGATTGTTGAGACACCACAGCTGTCTCTCAGTTTTGGAGACATGGTCTCATGTAACTAAGGCTACAAAGCTGAGGCCAGGGCTTCGCCAGGAGTGCAGCTCCTCGGGCTGAACTTGGGTGTCACGTGTGCTCAGTACAAACCTTACCAGCCAGCCCCATCTTCAGCCAGGACTCTTCTCTCTTGAGAATGCCCCCTCCCGAAACTGTGAAGGTCTGGATAGCCATCACAGACCCATTGGTGTGAATGCTTAGCCCATAGGGAGTGGCCCATAGGGAGGTATGGGTGTTGGAGTGGGTGTGGTCTGGTTGGAGGAAGTGTGTCACTGTGGGGGCAGGCTTTGAGGTCTCCTCTGCTCAAGCCAACCCTGAGTGTGGCACACAGTCTCCTCACGGCTGCCTCTGATAAAGATGCAGAACTAACTCTCAGCTGTCTCCAGCACCGTGTCTGACACACGCCGCCATGCTTCCCGCCATGATGATGCCGGACTAAACTCTGAAACTGTAGGCCAGCCCCAGTTAAATGTTTTCTTTTATAAAAGCTGCTGTGGTCCTGGTGTCTCTTCACAGCAATGGAAACACCATGTTCTTTTTCTTTCCTTTCTCTCTTCTCTTTCCTTCTCTTGTGATTAAATCTTTATTAAAAGTTTAAGAAGGAGAGAGAGATGGCTCAGCTACTAAGAATGCTGGCTGCTCTTCTAGCAGACACAAATTCAATTCCCAGCACCCACACGACAGTTAACAACCTCTGTCACTCCAGTCCCAGGGAACTCCAATTTCCTCTCCTAGCCTCCATGGTGATATACACACAGTTCATAGACACCCGTGAAGTCAAATACCCGTACATGTAAGAGAAAATTAAACAAGCCTTTAAAAAGATTTATTATTTTGAAGTTTTATGTGTATGCGTGTGGGCCTGCATGTACCCCATGCATGCAAGTGACCTTGAAGCCCAGAAGAGAACATCAGATACCCTGGCACGAGGGTTCCAGAGGGTTGTGAGCCACCTGATGTGGATTCTGGGAACCAAACCCAGGTCCTACAAGAGCAGCAAGTGTCCTAACCACTAAATCATCTCTCCAGCCCCGCCCCTTCTCTTAATAAACTCCAACTTCGATTCATACTGACTTGTTCTGAAATTCTTTTCTGCTGTGTAGTCAAGAATCCTAGCTTTAGCTGGGCATGGTGGCTCATGCCTTTAATCCCAGCGCTTGAGAGGCACAGGCAAGTGAATATCTGTAAATTCAAGGCCAGCGCGGTGGTCTACAGAGTGAGTGCTGGGGCAGCCAGGGCTAGGTAGAGGGACCCTGTGTTAAAGAACAAAACAAAGCCAGCTTCTGCTGATGAGGTCTCCGAAAAGAGCCCAGACTGCTGCAGGCAGCTGCATGGAGCTGCCTCTCTCTTGCTCCTTGTTGCAAATGAGTATGGCACCTCCTGCTGAAATACTGTTGAGAGCTGTAATTTCCTAGACTTATTTTGTATCTAGTTTTGTTAGGGCTCAGGTACTTCCTTTCCTGTTTTCTTTTTGTTGTTATTGGCTTTATTTTTGATACAAAGTCTCACTCTGTAGCTGAGGCTGGCCCCAAACTAACTATTATAGTCTAGACTGGCCTTGAATTGGCAACAGCCTTGCATCTTGGTGTTCTTGCTGGCCCCGAGGCAGGTAGCCCTGCTTGCTAGGCCTTCTGCTGCTCTGCTGGCTTCAGCCTCGAGTGAAGCCAACAGCTTCCAATTAAAGGCTTCAGAAGAACTGGTTCCCGGACCAGGAAGAGGGCGGTGCTACCTGACATCAGCCCCTCCTTCTGATCCCAGTGTCCTTCCCATCACTGCTGCTGGCCAGGAGGAAGTCACTGGTCGTGGTGCTAATTTGTGTGTTGAGGGAAAGTGGACACAGACATCTTAGAAACATACTCAGGGTAGCAGGGAACAGCATGCTTTGGCTGGCCAGAAGTTCTGGTGAGTTGTCTAAGTGTGCACGGCCACAGGTTGAACTGTTCTACACCTTTCCTGTTCTCACTACAGCACTTGATGTGTGTTTGTAAAACGGTTTCTCCCCTCGAAAGCCATATTTTTCTGCTTTGGGAAAAGTGAAGACTGAAAGACTCCAGGAAAGGATGTTGTTTAGCAGGAAAATAAGGCAAAACCCAGAGAGAGCCCTCTGTTCTCACCTATGTGGTGAGAGGGGCCTTTGGCTCTCAGCAGTTTGGGGCAGCGGGATGAGAACTCCACCTGGTGCTCCTAGAGGCCACTCTGACTCTGAGATATGCAGGTTGTGCACAGGAATTTTACCAACGTATTAACTTACATTTCTCTTTAATCATCTTCTTTCTCGTCTGAGGTGGTTTGTGGCACACTAAAAGTAGGGCCAGGCATGGGGAAAGCTAAGGGAAGGAGGAGGAAAAGGATTTCCCCAGGAAATCAGAATCCTGCTCCTTTTCCGGTCTGGGTGGCCACCACACAACTGGTACTTTGTTTCTGCTTCTAGGCTGTGCCAGATGGTGTGACAGAACCTCATATTTGAAGACGATGGTTTGAGGCTTAGGACTTGGTGACACGGGTCCTTGGGACCAGGCCTGGAAATGGTTTCCATAGCACGTGACCTGGCACAGCGGGAATTGAGCACAGCCAACCATTTCTGGTGCTACCTCAAGGAGGAGCCGGGCTTTGCAACTACAGGTGGAAGGCTGAAATGTAAATTTAGCTAAAACTCAGGCAGGTGGA